TTAATTTAACTACAATAACTGGGTCACAGCTTTATTATAAATGTATAAATATTTATGATATAAAAATATGAGCACGAAAAGTAAATACACATTTTTTTAAATAATTCAATAATATGAAATATGAATAATTTGCAAAGCTACGTTGAAACTTTGAACATTCTATGAAGTTTGTTGTGATATCAACGTTATAAAATATTTTTTTCATGGAGAAAGTGATATTAATATATTTTTCCATTTATTGTTTGTTATTGAACAACTGCATTTTGATTGTTTATTCACATATTTTATGTATTATGAATATAAACTAATAGGTATACATTTAAAATTTTTCTTATTAAGAAAGCTCTATCTGGTAAATTTTTGAATTTTTATATATTACCAATTTTAAAACAGGTTAACTGGTTGATCTACCTAAAAAGTGTTAGGGCCTAATACGATGTCGATATACAAATAAATTCCTACATGCCCCTAAAACATTGGCTCATTATTAGCACATTCTATGAAATCTGAACTAATTATGTACAAAGGCTAATCTGTTAGTCAATAATGTTTGAACATTCACAAATTATCAGAGTAGAAGAATATAAGTTCTGCTTCTGCTGTGTTAAGTAATAAATTGAAAATAATTTATCATTGAATTGAAATCTTATCTATTCAGGAGTGTAACTGCATTATTTACATTAAAAGCAGATTTCACTACTTGTAGAGTCGTAGATTTCTTTTAGAATTACATTTGTGTATGAGGCTTGAGGCTCGACAAATAATTGATYATAAAATTTAAAATAAACTATTTGATAAAATTATAAGTATATATATTGCAATATATTTTAATTTATGTATCAATCAGTAACAAAATGTCAAGTGGATATTTAAATGTACGAGTATGTTAGTCCAAATTTGTACTCAAATCTTAAATTATATTCTTAAAGCTTTAGTTGAATAGGAAGTACATACATAATATTGTTAACATGTCAATAATGCCTATATAAGGTTAAACATTGAATTATCTATACAAAAATAAACTCAACTAGCTACAATAATTATTAATTAATATATAAACATTTTTAAATATCTAAATAATTTAAATTAAGATTTGTAAATATATCTTTTGTAATAGTTTCTATCCAATTAATAAACATTTAAATTATATTTTTTAAGCCATATAATATATGGCTGTTATTACCTTATATTATACCTTCATGTTTTTGAAAATCAGTTCAATTACCTATTTGGTTTTAATTTATATATAAATTTTTTTTTTTTTACTTTTATTTTACACAAATATAAAAATCTATAGGTACATATATTTTTTGCATTAAATTTAAATTATATGAAAGATACAAGATAACAGAAAGGMTTGATARGATAAAGCCACCTACTGACGACACGTCTTCTGGAATGTATATTTATAAGTTTATTTTTAAGTTTTTAATTATAATTTTTAATAAATAGAATACTAAATCCAAAGTATTTATTAGAAATTTTATACAAATTCAGTTATAATATGATTAGAAGTTTTATAAGTGTGTTCTTTTTAGTTATCTCTATATCTATTCAGTATGTTTAATAAATAAACTATGTACGCATTTTTGAAGAAAAAAAAAATATATRATAAGTACCTAGATATATTGTGTACTTACCATCAACCTAATATTTTTGTCACATCCACCTTATGTTCATTGCAATTCDCAACTTATAAAAATTGTAATGATTCCTAAATGTGTGATTTTAGTTTGGTTGATTGTACTATTTACAATTAAAAAAAAAAATACCTACTAAACATGTAATCTAATCATACATCTAAAAATTATTAACCAATATTATTTAAAAATGTGAGAAATAAATTTAGTTATAAATAATAATAGTAATAATTAATAATTAAAATATAATAAACCACTCTTAGTTTTAGATTTTTAGTTAGTTCAAATATATAACAACATAAATTATACATTTATTTTGGTGATTATATATTTTCTTCAGAAAATCAAGTTTTAAAGTAATATTTTTACAATTGTATCATTTGATATATCTTCATGAATGACTTTAAAATGTTTTTAGAACCACCGACTGATTGAACTCTTAACTTTAAGTTTGGTTCTCATATTAGTTTATAACTAAACACACATAATAATTATATTATTATAAAATAGTAGGTATTCCAAGGAAATTGACCAAGATACAGCCTATATAAATTAAATTATCAATACATTTTATATTTTTTTTTAGTATCCTAGCCAAAGATTTTAGAGACAACTGTTCATCATTATATTCTCTAGAAAGACCTGGTGCAATTAGATAAGCTAATATCATGTAAATGGAGATGTCTGATGGGGTCGCTGTAAATTGCGGCCCATTTTTAATTTTTTATGTAAATTGCGGCCCGGGCATATTTTGCATATACGTAAATTGCGGCCTGGCTATATTTTATATACACGTACATTGCGGCCTGGGTATAATTTTTATTACCTAACCRAATATTTTTTATCAATGATATTAAAATCAATATTTTCCTTCTCATTTTTCAGACTTAGGGCTGTCAATATAATTGTATCAATATTGGTATGATGAAAAATATTGGTTTTGCTGTTTTTAATTAAAAATATATATTATTAGCAATTAGTAATAATGTGTCAGTAAAAATGTGTTTTTACATAAGGTCTCCGATCAAATGCACACTGTTTGCTAGTAATATATTATATTAGTATATATATATTATTATTATCTAAATCGATCATTCAAAGATTAAAACTTATCTTTAAATTGTACAACCTACCGGAAATCGGAATATCCCAGTCCGCAATTTACGTACATTTCAAATATACCCGGGATGCATTTTACGTATATTTTAAAAGTACATGGGTCGMAATTTACGTAGTATATAACTATGACCTTTTTGGGGGGACGCAATTTACCGACTCCGGTCTGATGACAGTGTTCGGCGCATTAACCCGGTATCTCCGGAGAAAACATTGGAAACACGTCTGATCATTCCGCATGGTATGATAGCATAATATTATTATTTTCATTTTATCAATTATCATGTATAAGTTTWAATATCAGTATTTTAATATTAATTTACGATTTAAGTTATTAAATGTATTGTTTTTAATTTATAATAGTTGATTTAACAATTTACTGTTTTAATCGGTTATAATATATT